CAGATTGAGATAGAAAGGAAATGCCTATTGATAGAGAATTTCAATAAAATCTTCGCTTCACCGACGAATCTGTGATCTTCTCAAGTGCTAAGTGAGCGACGATTAAGCTAAAAGAAGAAAAGTTTGATTGCATATAAGGAGCACGAAGATCCAGTTCAAGAGGAACCCATGTTGAAGGTGGGCAAATCGAAATGGTTGATGTTCTGATTCCAGAGAGCGCCGCGTACGTATATACTGGGCGTTCACTGGATATGGGGAACAACACGAAAGATTGATGTCACGAATGGAGTGGAATGTATGGCACATCTCTCAGGGAAAGACCAACGCCGAATATCCTCATCCTTATGGTAAAGGAACGCAGTGTGAAACGGAGCTTATGACTACTGGAATATTTTGATTAAGTGTCCATAAATCTTAGTTGGTCTACTTCAATAGAGATCCTGTTCCACTTTAAGAAAGCGTCTGATTTAGTGCCTAATTCTTTTAAAACCTCAAGGGAATGGCAATGAATGGCTGCAAATTGGTATCCAGTTCGTTCATTAATCCACTTCTGACGAAGATTTTGACTCATTAGACTCGAAAAGTCCTTCTTCAAGTGGTAAACTTTACTATGAGATATGTGTTCAAACGTGGAAGTCGGAGCAATTTCTGAGCTGAAGACAATTTGCAATTAGACAGATACAAAAAACCTAAATACCAGTAAACCGTTACGGACGTGTGGAACCATAAAGGGACACCTTTAAAGCACCATCATTGGAGGCAGAGAGGAGACTACCTTTAAAGGCAGAAAGAACAGTGCCATTAAAACACTGCCATTGCGACTATTGGTAGAAATGACAAGCACGGCGAAAAACACGTATCAGCAGCAATGAAGAGACTGAAGAAGAAAAACTAAGTCGAACAATCCCCTCTCAAAGTTATCGTAGATCCCGAGGTTCCTTTATCACAAAGAGGCAAACAATCACAGAAAACCTAACGTGAAAACTCTAATACACAACATCAAAGTGAAAATAATATTAAAAATGACCATTGAAACAATTAAAAAGCCTTTTATAAACCATCATTCCGTGGAACTAGAGGAACTACTCCTTCACTTCCAACAGTCCCTTTGCTAAGTGGATAACCGACAGTAACGGGCTACTTTACATATATATATATATATATATATATATATGTAGCTAATATTTTGGGATACTCAAGGTTTCTTCCCATAGATCCCGTTCACTCCGCACTGTCAAAAACTTCATCAACCATCTTTTTATTCGTCCACTTTAAACGCCACTCAACACAAATATCAAAAACATAAACGATGCAACTATACAGAAGCCCCATCAATAGAGAACAGATGTCGGGTTAAACAACGAAATTCAGAAAATACACCCGAATTTTTTTCACAACAAGCAGAGTACGAGGAGAAATAAATTCCTACGCAGTATCACGAGAAAACCATGCAGTATAAGGCTGAAAGAGTCGGTACGCAATGGCAACGCCTAAAAATAAAACGCAGGTTTCCTGCAGGTTTATTCAGTGCCGTGCTAATTTCAGAAATAAGCACGTTCAAAATCAATAAGCATATATTTCGAAAACCGAAGATCGTTAAATCTCGGCAACAAATCTTCCTCTATATTATTCAGCTGAAACGAAGCTAACACAAAGACATTTATTCGGTTGATGTTTATATGTCTTCGACTTCTTCAGAGCCGGAATGACCCGTCTATAGTTAGAGCCCATCGACGGGTTCTCTGTCACAACGAGACGAATCCAGTGAAGCAGAGTCCTCCTCGAATCGATCAAATTCCAAACTTGATCGATCTATTGCAGTGCTCCAACTCATTGGATTCAACTCGGTGCGACGACGAACACCTGTTGACCACAGACACATGTCAATCGCCTCTGAAGACGATTATGTCGAAACGTTATCCGAATAAATTCTCTTCCCAATAACATGTCAGCTCTATAACAGAGAAAAACCAAAAAGCATACTTTTTATGCAATATCTGATAAATGGCATGGTAATGTAGATGATGACGATAAAATAGATCTGTTACTACACGCTCTAAACAAATGTCGGTTCTGGTGGTGATGAACAGCATACCGATCTCGAACTAGATTTTCTTTCACTGCCAACCACGCCATCAACATGAAAGGAAGATCCATATTCCTGAAAAGAAACAACTCACAGTTGACTGGATCAGGAAAATCTGTCTTTTCGAATATTTGCTTAAATAAGCGTGTTTAAATAGGATTGTCTACGATGACGTTATCGATCTCTTGCTGCAAAACAACTAGACAACAATGGACAATTGGATAAGGATGCAAACGGTTATGTCGAATTAGATTTGGAAACCGGCATCATGGAGCTTACAAAATTCTAATAACGTGGAAAAGCAATATCATACAATATATTTCGGAAAGTCATCACCAACCTAATCCGCATGTGAGATTTGTTAACCCAACTGTTCCACTTTATTACCCTTGCAAAAGACAAAACAGTTCCTCTCAAAGATGACAATGACATAGAATGAATTATGAATAGGTATAAGTGGTAAATGTATCCACCTCTTTGACCCTATACTCGGATACTTCGATACTTGGATGGCCCGTCTTCACTGGCTGTGCGGACCCCAGCACAATTTCCGCTCTTTGAGAGTTTTGCTGGTCTAGCCTGTGGTTCCCTGGAGTCAGCTAGGCCAAAGTCTGTCCCAGGTCATCAGCACAACAGGAAGTTGCCGGCCTTTGTGGATCAGAGGGAGATTTGCCACCATGCGACTAGTTCGATACCAGGACGGTGGTGGATTCTGATAATGGTTTACCCCTAGCTGGGCTTCCGATGGAAAAGCCGGACTTCTCATCTTGGGAGGTCTTGCCTGTGAGATGAATCTCCTCACAGTACATCGCAACCCGACACTCAGGTACACCTACCAGCCACGATGAGGCGGTTAACCGTTGGGGGACGACCTTGACCCCATAACTCAGAGAATTCACCAACGAAGCAGCTGATTTGGTGTTATGTGAAATCTAAAAGGTTTCTAGAAAATTAATGCGCGAAATCAATCTTATTTGTCTTGTTTATGTTTCAGTAATAGTTTTATTTTCAAATGATACACTCTCACATGTCATTGTCGAGCTCATTTCATGCACTATCGTAAGCGATAATTTAATTATAACATGTGTTCTTGACAAATTTTACAAGTTAGAAATTCAGATGTCAAAACAGCAATCACGAGAAATCTATTCCACAAATCCAAATTCGGACGCCAGCAGCGTAAACTGTTCGAAACATTAATGGAGTACGAAGCCAATGAAGTTAAGTGAGTGCACAATGCAATGTTGTTTTAGAAAATTTCGTCACGAAGAATTCAACTTTGAAGGTTAAGAAGGTCGCGGACGTCCTTCTGCTATTGACAATAATGAACTGCCTGTCAAAAAACATAGTAATTTTTCGTATTTTTGTTGAGCAAACGCGAGGTGTTACTATTCTTTATTCACGAATAAGCTGACGTTTCGGCGGATTTCGCCTTCCTCAGAGTCTGGAAAGGTCAAGTTGATAGCAATCTATTCGGCCAGACACCTCCATAACCAGACAAAGAAAGTGCTAAACCAAGGTCTCAATCACATTGAACACAGTTTTGCACACTCACCGCTTTCTATGAGGTTTCCACTAAGTATGTCGCGTGAAGACTATCCGCACAGAAATCACATGGAAGCGAAAAAACATAGTGTAAGTGTCTCAACTATTACCTAGCAACTAAAGAACATCAAAGAATTGGAGAAGCTCTACAAATAGACGCCGCAAGGATTGAATCAAAATCAAAGAAAACGTTGCCATCTTAGGGTGTCTTCGACGTTTCTTCCGCACACGTAGATCGACTGGTAAGCCGACCGAATTGTGAGATCCAGAAAAAAATAGATACTCCACGAAAATCTTGCTCACCAGTTGCACCAGAATGAAACCTCACAGCCTCTCCTAAAAGGAACTGGATCGAAAGAAGACCATGATGATCACTTGATTGTTTACTGCTGGTGTAATCCATCATGGCTTCTTCAGTCCAAATAACACGACTACAACCGAGAGCAAGGTCCAAAATGTCGAAGAAATGCACGAGAAATTTCAAGGAGCAAGCCTTCAAGATAACGCTCGGCGACGAGGCATACAAACAGTACTGCAAAAGTAAAACGAACTGCGCTGCAAAATTCGACTTACCTACCATACTCGCCGGCCCTTCGCCTACCGATTACCACTTCTTAAAGCATCTCGATGAGTTTCTTTGAGAGGAAATATTCAAAGCCCAAGTCGCGGCCAAAACTGTCTTCAACGACTTCATTGTCTACAGAAGTCCAGAATTTCAAGCAACTCCTACATAAACTTGCTCATCGATGGCAAAAACGTCCAACTTCTAATAATTTTTGTCCCGATTAATAAAGTTTTTTTAATGTGCTAAGATATGCCACCTTGGAAATATATGTTAGAATCGGAAACTAGACTTCAGAAAACCTAATAAAAAAATCCCCTCGATGAAAATATGGCTACCAATGCAACAACTAAGGAACCGTCTTAAACAAGAAGCTCAGCAAGCAATACTTCCTCTTCATATCCTTACCCTTATGACTAACATCAACACGGCTGTAGACTTCACGTTCTCATGAAAACTGACGTGGTGCACAATGCTGCCACCACTAGTAAAAATAGAGTATCACTAGAACAACAATAGACAACAGAATGAATGCGAACAGCAGGCATGATTCATTCCACAAAACCACGAGCCTTCAAAAAAACACAGCTTTGTTCTTTTCCAGCTTTCAAAAAAGACAAAGGAGGTCGAAGCCTGTTATACTACAGGCACAATTCGACGGATATCGAGATCGAACACCAAAAATGACTATTTGATTACTGAGTCCAAGCTGTTTACAAACCTTCACTTGTAACTACAACGGTGATAGAGATACCTCCCTCAAACTCACAATCTAATCTGCAGTCGTTTGAGAAAAACAACTACTGCTCAGAGTTCATGCTGATGATGAAATTCTTCCGATTGAACTTTCTCGTGTTTACGTTCGAATTCCAAAAGTGTAAACTAAAACAATGTAACTGAACTTCCTGTTGTTCTGCCCGAGTATGAAAAGTGTAAAACGAAGCAAAATGTGTTGCATGGTGCTTTTTGTGACATTGTCAGAAGGTGTTTAGATTTGCTGAATCAGTAAAAGTACAAATGGCCAATATAATCCTCCTTCCTGCAGAGAATCACAGGCTATTCGGAAATGGTCCCCTTCTGCGATAACATTAGGTGTCAAATTCTAACGCCTCGCTAGTAATTTGTAATGTCACTGGTTATAAAATTACGGCGAATGCGGTCGCTCAATCATCTTAACGAATATGTACCAGCATTGGTAGCGTGTTTCTCCCGGTTTTATGACAACGACCAAAAACAGCGAATTTTCAGTTTGATTCTAGAAAAACTGCAGATCCTACGAAAAAAGCAGAAACCCATCCCCAACTGATGTTTCAACAGCATTCAGACTCAACTCGTTAACCTCCATAAACGTTCTGCAATCAATTTAAGGGTCTCGTGGTAATTAGAAAACGATAAAAAACTGACCAGAAAGAAAACTTCGGATATTTCACATTAACAACAAGGATCAAACACTACGACATTTGTCTTAAATTCCAGAACTAAACTTAAGAGAACAAATACTAAACCGCCGTCTAATGAATTTCCAAAGATATTTGTAGAGATTAACTAAGAAAAAAACTTTTCCTCAAGGTTCTATTGGAAGAAAAATCTAGCAGATTGCACTGTAAATAACTTAGCAAAATATTCAAGTAGCAGTGACATCAACGGTAGCAAAAAGGAGCAAAAATAAAACTTTGTGAATAGCAGACTACAAACTGAATGCGGTTCTTTCCCTCTGGAACAAAAACCCAGAAAAAAACAAAACGAAAAAAAANAAAAAAAACCGAACGGAAAAATAGAAAGTGGTAGAAAAAAATACGAAACACATACCTCGTGCTCATCCGAATCATCAGAGTGCATACTAAAAGCGGTGATTTTTTCACGCATTGCAGCAGCTAATGTATGGAAAGCTTCATCACAGTTGATACCTACAACACTACATTATATGAGAAGTTATTGTATTAAGATCAATACAGAACAAGTCCGTGGTAGAGAATAACATCTAATGAAAGCAGGCACATATAGCTCAATGGTTAGAGGTATCTTGCAACACACATGGTTTTAATGGTTCGATCCGACGTGCTATCCAGAGTCAAGTGACTCGTCCCAGACTTGTTTAAGAGAATAAAGACCTGTGAACCTATACAAGGACATGCACTCGAAATTGATTGCATATGCAAATTATGCATTCAATCAACTCGAAGACGCTACGAACGGAGTCAAATGCATAGCGCGTCCACTAGGGAACGACCAATGTTAGAAGGTTCTATCCTGCACCTAAGAAGCAAACAATGACCACGTTAGGCTTGCCCAAACGGAGGGAAAACGATAACCAAATAAAAAAATAAGAGTGCCGGGGACAGTTAGCAACATAGGTCACAGAAATTCCATCAAATCAGTCCTGTCTCCATCGCTTATGGCTAGCGCATAAACATACACTTTACACATTTACTGGAAGTTTCAATTTTAAAATGCTGCATAACATTTTCTCAGTAATCTAAGCCCTTCTTTTGTTCAACATAACGCACAAAGAATAAAAGCTTAAAGCATTCGGCGTTGATCACCCTTAGGGCATATCTGACACATACAATTACTTTTAGTGACCTTCCTATGTATCTTGCAAGTTCTTTCATCTTCCCAAACAAATCTGACATCAATTCTCCGATTATGGAAAACTGCAGGGCTTCGGGAGATCAGAACGCGAGGTGGAAATAAAGAACGATCCTGCGCGAAAAGCAAGGCGCCTCTACCGACTGCTCTACATGCACCCTTCACGCAATACATAGAAAAGAGGACTTAAAACAGCAGAATTTTACTCCACTATTGTATTTATGCATAACTACCAGCTTAACTAGCCTAACACCCTATTTATTAAATGCATGCTCTTTTGCCATTAAAAGGAATTCCAAAAATTTCTATATTACAAAGCAATGAATACTCACCATTAATACTGACAATGTTTGCTGAACATATAAGGGACTCAATTTTCAACTGCCGATAATTTCAGCACTTTGCGAGCTAAGAACTTGACGAACATATAAAAAACGCTTTGAGCTATCGCTCTACCCATATGCATACATTTGTTAGAAAGGCTTTCTTAACTTTAAACTTGACTTGAAGTCAAATGCTCGGGAACTCTAAAAGCAAATCAGGAATTTACAACGCCAGCTCCGGAAGTCGCAAGGACCAATAACGCATTAGGGAGGCATCAACGCGTCCCAATAGGTGGAATCCCAGTGTTCATTCGCTACAGCGTCCGAAAAGCAAACATGGACAAAAAAGCGAAAAAAAAAAGAGACCCAGAATTACAGCGTAGTTAAACAACTAAAGTTGTGAATTGCTGGCAAATCCTTACTGAATTAAATGGTTTTTCTCTCGTAAACAAAGGAATTATGAGCTATTTTCGTTCAAAATTTAAAAGCCAAACTACTATTGGAAGTGTACGTATTGAAATCAATGCGCACTCTAACTGATGTGTTAGCGTGAAAACTGCAACCAGGTGGATGACATATGGATATCATGACAAATGAAATCGGGCAATTAAGCGTAGCAAGAGAACAAAGAAATGCTTTTCCTAGAATGTAAAAAAAAACAATGCGAAGAGTAAATATCTATTGTAACTAAGTAAGCAATAACTGAAGTAACTGAGTGAAGAAGAGTGGACTTTTTAACCTTCTACCCAATCTCTTGCCAACGGTAAGTCCATCACACTAGTTAAGCCTGCAAATGTCAAAGAGGATCATTGCTGTCTGCCAAGGAAGAATGTTCTTTATTTGAAGGTCTCTGTAAAGTTTCAAGGAGAATAAAACCTATAGACAATTTCCCTTGTTCTTAAACATGAAACCAATGAAATCCGTTAAATTTTTCGATGGATTCAATTAGCAATTTCCATATGTACCCATTAAGCACAATGATAAAATCGACATTTTTTCTAACCAATCAACGGTCCTGAAACCATGGCCAGAAGCGCAGGGCTGCGTGCCCCTAATCTCAAATCATCAATCAACTCGAGCAGTCAGTAAAGTTCACATACATTTCTGTAGCGTATCAAAACTACCGCATGGCCTACACTCGTTCGAAAACTCCGGAAGACTCACACTTTCAGCATCGGAGCTCTTATTTTATCACCTCTGATGAGAATTCAGCAACAGATAGCTCGGTGATCCCTCCTATGTTATGCTGCTAATAAAAGCTCTGCTCTTAACTATGTCTACTGTCTAAAGACCATAAACGAAATTCCAGTATGTACACACAATATGAATTCTTTCGATGGAGAGATTGCACACGTGAAAAGTGTTTCGAAAGAATATGCCGTAAGAATTCCACGTAATGAGAGAATGGAAGCAGAACAGATGTGGACAGATTGTATAACCTATGAAGGCTTCACCACTCCATGAACGAACGAAGCACTTAATAAGTGAAAAAAGTACGAGATCATAGTAATCGTACCAGTTTTAGCGGAAACCTCATACAACGACACTCCAAGTCGAGTTGCCAGTCCTTCAGCTCGTCCGAAGTCGACCTGAAATGAAACATCTAGACAACAATACTTCACAATTCGTCATCGTATACGTATGAATTGACGTAAAAAGGAATTATGTAGTGGAAATATTGGCAAACAGAAGTAATAGAATGAAAGCAATCCCTAATTTGACTGATAATGTAGAAAATAACACTGGTCCCAGCACTCTGGACAGCACTTTTACAGGATGCTTCTCAAATTTCACCTCAAAACAGAAATGAACGACAGCGAGCAATGTAGAGGTGTACACTTCAACTGAAAGCAGCAAACAAAAACTCTCGAACAGAGGTGTGAACGGCAACGGCGGTGAACACAAAGTTATGTATTGGTTGATGGTAGACTTCTACCTTGATCGATAAGGAGAAACACTGAGTGTAAAAACCTCTGTGCACAGCCAGAAGAACAGACTTTTCCATTTCTATCTGGGCATGCACTAGCATTGGCTATCAAGACGTCAGGTATTATGGGACCCGTTATAGATTATTCATGTTCTTCTTGTAATACACTTATTCACTAGTACAACTACTTCTTTTCTAGATGTTTCCGACTAGGTGCATCGACCACTGGGAGCAATTTTTTGCTCTAAAAAGGTTTCCTCCTACGATTCTAGACGGAAAATGATTTGGTTTGATTAACCTCGCAAGACAGATCTCTGGCCATCGAGCTTTTTAGCAACCGGACTGACAACGAACACTGCTTAAGACCAAACTATGGAGTGGGGTCGTTTCTTATCGGTACAAACAATTCCGTTTCCGTCTTCGTTCCATATAGAACTTGGTTTAACGCCGTTATTCAAATTGATAACACTATTCCGCTGACAGATGTTTGATGGATGCTTTCAACAACATAAATCAAACATCGAAAAAAAAACACTGGGAAACGCCCAAAATCACATAATCGGACCACATTCTATCGCACACGTCAGAGGTCCCTTTGAGCGAACCCTCGAATCCAATTTACTACCATGTCCCCTTAATTCCAATGAGAAAATATCCAAAAACTAGAAACGGCCACTCCTTCATTAGGTGCCGCTATAACAAAATAAAGGCGGTTAATGAACAGAAAGCACCAATAAACAGTCATTCAAGCGGAGGATGAGGAAGGAAAAAACAACGAACTGCATGACTTATATGTGAAATGGATTCCCATAGGAATGCATTAATGGATTTCTGCTGACTGAAATCGACAGCGAGTGCATTGTCAATTTTGGAGACGAGAAAAAAGAAGGCAAATGTCGACGTTGGGATGAGATTGATGGTCAGCACCCACCTTTCGTTCGCTCTCCAAATCGGCCTTGTTTCCAACTAACATCAGCACAGCGTTTTGTGGTGCATGTTTCCGGATTTCTTTCAGCCAGTAGCTCTCCAAATTACTAAATGACTTCTCGCTTGTCATATCGTATACGCACATAACGCCATGTGCTGAATGATAGTACGAATTATATATGGTCCTATATCTTTCCATACCGGCGGTGTCCCACAACTCTAATCGGATCTGAAACGAAAACAAACGCGTGTGCTTATCGAGAAAACGGCAGATATAAGAAAGCTGCAATGAAAACGAAAATGGGAAACCATTCACTGAGAAAAAAAAACGTAAACTGTGTGCAATTGCGGACAGTTACCTTATCACGCCCGAGTTTGATAGTTTTTAGTTTGAAATCGACACCAAGTGTACTGACGTGGTCCGTTCGGAATGTGTTCTCGGAAAATCGCAGTAATATGCATGACTTGCCACAATTGTGGTCGCCAACTACGACTATCTGAAATGATGACGAAAGGAGAAGAGAGAGAGAGAGAGAGAGGGAGAGAGGGAGGGAGAGAGTGAAAGGAAATCGAAAAACGAAACGAAAAGAATTTAATATGAGCTCTGAACGTGGAACGAAACATTAACGATAGTTTAGAAATAGGGAAACTGAATACGAAGGTACTTACTTTGAATAGATGATTGTAGCTCATAGCTGCGCATGGAGGTTATTACGAGTGTGGTGGGGGTTGGCGGTCGATCCAA